TTTGTAATATGCCGCGTTGATTTTTACGTTTCTCTCGTTTATCTCGCTTGCAAACTGCCCCCCAAACCATCACTGACGCTGCACTTTGGAACCGAGGAATGTTGTTTTGAGATGCAGGAATGCTTGTCCTCGTTGTCGCCCACAATCGATAATTTTGTGCACTAAGAGGCTGCTCCAGCACAAACAGTTTCTCGGCCAAAAAAAAAATGAAGTCGTGACCAGCGTGCCGAGAGAGTATCAACGGCGCTATCCAACCTCTTTTTGGTGGTAGTTTCCGAGACACCATGTACCTTGTTGACGTAGGATTACGTCTTTTGGCAACATATTGGGGGTGCAATTTCAAAAAAAAAAAAAACTAAAATCAGCCGCATTACGAAAAGTGGTTAGGTTTTGACCACATGTAACTCTGTCAATAGCTTGTGCTTATTCAATCACCGTGTGTGATGGTGTCCAGTCGGTCGTCATCATCAGCAGTGCTTTGAGTGCGTGGCGTTGAACATTGTTCTCCAGCACACAATGAAAAGCTGCCCGCAAGTAGCAAGCTGCAGCCCACATGAGCGTCCATTCAATGAAGGAGGAAAAAGCCGCACCGCTAATGAGCGGAATCAGTAGCTCTTAGTGAGTCGCTGTGGACCATCTATGCCAAGCGCGTCACCCTCATTCCACATAACATACAGCTGTAGTATTGTATTTATTTATTTATTCGTCATCAATCAAATGTAGACCAGTTTAAATTACAAAAAACACTTAACATCTATTTTAATTTTCAATCTCTGACTAACCTCGAAAAGAAACGGTTTTTAAGAGAATTTTTGTTCATTGTCAAATCAATTGTTTCATAATGTTCATTATAACAAGACATCATTCTATTTAAAGGCTTTGTTCTTTGGTTATGAATATAAAACATATTTCTGTTTCTTAAGGAACGAGTGGGAGCAAAAAAATTTAGATTTTCTAAAATATTTGTGGCATTCACTCTTTGTGCTACAACATCGTTTATAAAAGCTATCATTGAAAACTGCCCTCGTTTTTCAAGTGCATCCAAATTGATCAACAAACATCGAGACTCATAAGATTGTAAGGATAAACTCGTCCAGCCTAGCTTTCTTAGAGCAAATAATAGAAACTGTTTTTGAACTGATTCAATGCGGTTTATATGAGTATCTTGATATGGAGCCCAGACTATACTACAGTACTCAAAGAGGGGCCTAACATATGCAACGTATAATGTTTTGATTGTGTATGGATCATTGAAATGGGGGTGCAATTTCAAAAACCAAAGTTGGTTGCGGCATGAAAGTGGTCTGATTTTGATTAAGAGATGATGGATTTTAATTCATAATACGCCAATCGATATGAAGGTTTTCTACGAATCTGTTAAAATTAAGAGTTTATCATTTTTCAAAATGTCACTATTGAAAGTTGCACGAATGTGCAACTGTTGCTGTGATAATTAAAATTATTACCAATTGCCTGCGAAACGCGCTTTCCCTAACACAGATTTCAAATTGAATTCCATCCGGTCTCACCAAACGCTGTTCATTCACACAACGAAAGACCCCCCGTAAGCATCTAGCTATCAAGGCTGCCCTCAACCACTGATTAGATTCAATTGCTCGTAGTGAGCCGCTGTGGATTATCTAAAGGGCGAACACGAAATTATTGCAACACCGAAAATGTCATGCCAATTTTCTTATAATGTTTAAAATCAAACCAAAATTTTAGGGTAGTTTTATACATATATTTACTTCAAAAATCAAAAGAAAAGTTAATCGATCGAGCCTTGAGTGTAAAATTGAACGCATTTTCGCTTGATGCCCTCCATCAAAGTCTTTACAGTGTCATCCGGTACCAGTTTCTCAGTTTTTTTTTCCATTTTCTTAACATGTCCTTCTCGTCTTTGACTGTCTTCTTGCTCTTCCGAAGTTCCCGCTTCATTATTGCCCAGTACTGCTCTACCGGGCGCAGCTCCGGACAGTTTGGCGGATTCATGTCCTTTGGAACAAAATGGACAGAATTGGCCTCATACCACTCCAGGACACTTTTAGAATAGTGGCATGATGCCAAATCTAGCCAAAATAGCGGAGCTTCGTCGTGCTGCTGTAAGAACGGCAAAAGGCGCTTCTCGAGGCACTCAGATTTGTAGATCTCGCCATTTACTGTGCCCTTTGTCACGAAAGGCTCACTCCTCAGTCCACAAGAGCAGATGGCCTGCCAAATGAGATATTTGGAGGCGAACTTCGACATTTTCTTCTTCTTAAATTTGTCGTCCACATCGAACTTGCTCTTGCCGGTGAAAAACTCCAACCCCGGAATTTGCTTAAAATCGGCTTTTATATACGTTTCGTCGTCCATCACACAGCAGCCATATTTTCTCAGCATCTTCTCGTAGAGCTTCCGTGCCCGAGTTTTAGCCGTCGATTGTTGCCGCTCATCGCGGTTTGGGAAGTTCTGTACCTTGTATGTATGTAGTCCAGCTCTCTTCTTTGCATTCTGGACGTAGCTCTGCGACATGCCGATCTTTTTAGCCAAATCACGGCTTGAGACGTTGGGATTTGCTTTAATCATCCGCTCCACCTTTCCCTCCGTCTTTTTTTTCTCCGGTCCCGGTTTTCTTCCAGCTCCTTTGCCGTGGTCCAACGTCAACCGCTCCTGGAACCGCTTCAACACTCTGGAGACGGTTGAATGGTGAATGTTTAACATTTTTCCCAACTGCCGGTGCGACAGGTCAGGAAATTCCAGGTGTTTGGAAAAAAAATTGTTCTCGCAACTCGCGTTGGTTCACCTCCATTTTCGTTGAATCGAAAAACACGACTTCGAGTTTGACAGCATGTACACAATACACATCAATGAGAAAGTGTGCAAAATTTTGTTGATTTTTACCCAATGGTAAAAAAGTTATGCCCTGTTGAATGTGTCGCAATAATTTCGTGTTCGCCCTTTATGCCAAGCACGTTACCCTCGTTCCAAACAACATACAGCTCGCCAGCCTTATCCGTATTGAACAACCTAATAGCTCAGCATTACCCAATCATCACGACAAAGCAGTTTTTTTTTTAGAACAACAATAAATTATTGTTGTTTAAGAGTTAATTTTCATTGAACTTTCGCTCGCCTTTCTGCCAGCCACATCACCCCCAAAGCTCTTTGACAATGTACTCAGCTATCAAATACGTAACAGTATTTAAGTGGTACATAAAAATTCTCGCAATGACCGAATCCCTTGATGGAATGACCTTGTCAATTAACCAGAAAAAAAACTTAATAATAAACTTTAAATTTAAGTTAAGGTTTTCTCCATGACGCTAGAAAAAAGCAAAACAGCCTCAAATTTCTATGATTGATCGTGAATTTGAAAACTGTAGCAAGACATTCCTACAATCAATTTTCGTTTTTGTTTAGTATCTATTGAAAATGCGTAATTTTGTCCTCAGTGGCGTTACCGCGAATCTTACGTCAAATTTATGGTCGTGTCTCAACCTCTTACTTTTTATAAGCCTTACATGTTTTTAACACTAATCCAGTCAGTAAGTTTTTACTTGCGGAACTGTTCGATAAAAGTTTAAAAATCTGTGGAAAATTCAAAAATGAGGCATATTATTCCGAACTCGTATCGGCTTAGTTCTGTTAATCTCATTTAAGGGGGTATTCCCGATCTTTTTTTTTTTTTTCAAAAAATCAAATTTTTTTTTTCACGTTTTTTTGTACTTTAGACTATATACTTTCATCCCCCCAAGCCGTTTTCCGATCAGCGAATTCGGTGTCCAGGCATAGCTGACTAATGGTAAGAACCCCCAAATGGTTTTAACTAAAGTCAAAACTTTAAACGCGTTTTTCTCGAAACCACATTTTTTTATCGGGCGAAGATTTTTCTCCAAAACTATAAGAGATATTGACTTGAATCTTTGCGCATTTTGTTCCTTATTAAATTCTTTGAAGCTTCTCCTACTTTCAGCCAAAAATATTAACATTTAACATTGTTTGAAGCACCTTAAAGCTGCAAAAAAGCGGGCTAAAAATCGCCTGTTTTTTCATATGGCCGCCATTTTGTTAATTTGCAAGATTTTTTGCTGCCAACGGGAGAAGCTCCAGAGAATCTTATGCAGATTATTAATTTCATCACGAAATCTGTTTCAGATGAAGCCGTTCCAGAGAAAAGTCTTCGCCCGTCCAGGCGTTTGCGGCGAACAGGGGTCTGTTTGCCGCCATTTTGTGACGTCAATAATGTCTTTTTTTGTGTCGAAAAAAATTTATTTGTAAATTTTAATGTTCAATAAACAAGAATCCCAAAGAGTTAGGCGCATTACTATTCATTTTCCTTGAAAAAAAAATAATTGAAAAACAGGCCGAAAAAAGGCAAAAGATTGGGAATACCCCCTTAATGATAGAAAAGAAAATTTGTCGATTTAATTGATTCCTTAAGGATAACGGTCATTAAATTTTGAATTTTTACCGACTTTTTCAGCAATTCAAAAACCCAGTAAATCAGTACATACTGACTTCTGTAAAATAATCTAAGTGTGTGGGTTGTTTGTATTTATATATTGTGTGGCGAGCACAGCGAAAGTCTATGTTCAGGGAAGCCTAAACAATTGCCCATCTGAAAATGTATTTAACCGACATATGTAGTTGCATAGTTTTGTTTTGCGGCTGTGATTGTACTTATTGGCTCTAAGCTGGTTCAACACATTGTATCGCACAGAAAGACTTCGAGTTCATCGGATGTAGATAGTAGATCAATCTATGAATGACATATCAATCGAATGTGCGGCTGATATTGCGTGTCTCTTAAAACCTAGCCATCACGTTTCCCCCCGTTGTAGCTTGTGATCGTTGGTTAACAATTGTAAAAGTTTGTTTGCGAAATCAAAACTTCTGCCATAAGTGTCACCGGGCTGAAAAATATGTTTCCCAATCTGAAAATCCGTACCCCATCGAACTAAACACCACTCAGTAAACAAAAGAACTATCCATCTAATAGCAATTTAAATTCACCTCAGGTACGCGGCCAACGTTTCTTTGTCTGGTGACCGGTGTCACTTTGGTGGCGGCACTACTGTTAGCGGAAGCGCAAGGCCAACAGCAGGCACGTATCGTATGCTACTTTAGCAACTGGGCCATCTACCGACCGGACGTCGGACGGTACACGATCGACGACATTCCTGGTGAGATGTGCACCCACATTATCTACTCCTTCATTGGCGTGGACGACAGCAACTACAAGGTGCTGGTGATCGACCCGGAAGTGGATCTGGAACAGAATGGATTCAGGAACTTTACCGACCTGAAGAGTAAATACACGAACGCAAAGTTTATGATCGCCGTTGGCGGTTGGGCGGAAGGTGGGAAGAAGTACTCGCAGATGGTGGCGGTGAAGGAGAGGCGCGATTCATTCATCGATAGCGTGATACAGTTCATGAAGGCGTACGATTTCGACGGGTTCGATCTGGACTGGGAATATCCGGGCGCTGCGGATCGTGGTGGCAGTTTTAGTGATAAGGACAAGTTCTTCTACTTTGTCGAGGAACTGCGAAGATCATTCGATCGCGTCGGTCGAGGATGGGAGATCACGATGGCCGTGCCGGTGGCAAACTTCCGTTTGCAGGAGGGTTATCACGTGCCGGAACTGTGTGAGAATCTAGATGCAATCCATTGCATGACGTATGACTTGAGAGGAAACTGGGCTGGATTCGCCGATGTGCACAGTCCGCTGTACAAGCGGCCGCATGATCAATATGCCTACGATAAATTGAATGTCGTGAGTATTTGTTTGTTTATGTAGGCAGATTCCGGAGATAATTCATTATTTTTTTTATTCGGTAGAACGATGGAGTTCAGCTTTGGGTCAACTATGGCTGCCCACCGAACAAGTTGGTTATCGGAGTTCCATTCTACGGAAGAACCTTCACCTTGAGTGACAGTACTAAGAATCCCACTCTGGGATCTTATATCAATAAGGAAGCCGGCGGAGGTGCTCCTGGTCCGTATACTAATGCCAGTGGTTTTTTGGCTTATTACGAGGTATTAACATATTTAATCTACATTCAAGTATCAAATTATTAATTCAAATGTTATATAGATTTGTACGGAAGTCCAAGATGAGCAAAAAGGATGGACCAAAAAGTGGGACGACGTCGGCCTTTGTCCTTATACCTACAAGGACACTCAGTTCGTCGGATACGAAGATGTCGAATCACTAGAGCACAAGATGGCATGGATCAAACAGAAGGGTTATGCCGGGGCTATGACTTGGGCCATCGATATGGATGACTTCCATGGTATGTGTGGTCCAGAGAATGCTCTGATGAAGGTGCTTTATGACCACATGAAAGATTACACCGTTCCCGAACCTACAGTTACAACAACACCAAGGGTAAGTTGAGCGTCTTATATCCTATGAAAATAAGCTTTAATCTAATTTATTTTACAGCCTGAATGGAACCGACCTCCATCGACGCAATCTTCTGTTCAAGAGGTTCCCCTGGCGGCCGGACCTACAACCACAACGACTCGTCGTCCTAAGCCAACAACCACGGCTGCTAAGCGGACCACCCGAAGGACTACAACAACAACCACCACTACACCTGCTCCGGATATCTCGGAAGAGGAAGAGGATCGGGAGCCCGAACCAGCTCCAGCTCCTGCCCCAATTCCAGCGCCGGTTGACTACGAAGACGCAGACAACATCGATTGTTCCGGAGGTCAAGACTACGTGGCGTCGGCGGATTGCACCAAGTACTACCGCTGCGTGCATGGACAACCGATTGAGTTCTCATGTAAATCGAATACGGCTTTCCACACGGTGTTGAATGTTTGCGACTGGACCGAGAATGCCGATCGGGCCGAGTGTCGGAGTGAAGCGAAGACTGTCAAGGACTTCATGCTGGATGCTACGGCCGCACAGGTGGATGAGTCCTAAGGGATGGTTGTTAAGGATGCATTTAGTTAGGTTTAACATTGACTGAGTTGTCCAGTGGAAGAGATTATTGCCTGTCGGGAGACCGAAGAATAAAGGTTATATTTTTTAAGGAGAATATTTGGGATGTATATTTACGTATATGGGAACAGATTGCATATGGGGATTTCGTTCTGTGTTGCCGAAGGTGATGTGATACTTAATTGGTGTCGTATGTTCCCAGTGGTTTTTCACTATTTCTAGGCTGCCCTTCAACCAATTGAGCTGAATTTCTGTAGATAACTAGTTTGTGGTTGACACTTATCATATACAAAAAATCGAAATTGGTTGAAGGACAGCCAAGAAGCAGCAGGTGGACGGTTAATGGGGGGGGGGATTAGTTCTAGGCTTTTAACGAAGACAACATATCATGCAGACTGGTAACTTTGCCTGAATCCGAGCGACAGACACAGTGGCGCTGCGCTTAAGCAAAGGGTAAAGCAACCCATAGAAAAATGAGCAAATACGCAAACCTTTCTTCTGAGGTTGGAACCTTGCTATCCAAATCGTTCGTAGCATTTACATTTGAGCGGCAGATGACACGATTGTGCCTGCCTCATACCGGTCATTTGAGAAAATGGAAGAATTGCCAGTCTTCTTGATATGTTGTCTTCGCTTTTAGGCTTCATTTTCGATCGTTTTACTGGCTCCCAACTTAGTTTTTTTTTTTTTATATTAATTTATTTGTACAGGCTCAATCGAATAAACTTTACAGAGCCGAGTTATCATTTGCATTATACATGATTAATGTCTTAAATCTAGAGTTAAAGGAATTGAACCGATTACTCGCGGTCGTCTCGAGGTTAGTGGAGATTTACAATTTTTTCGATGGGGAAAGGGAGGAGGTTTGAAATATGATTTATTATACAAATATTCAATTAATCCTAAAACATGAACTTATTTCTATTCATCTTGAAGACAAACATTAAAAAAAACTACACGCACAATACACAAACTAAACACAAGGTTAATCAAACTTACAATCTAAGGTTAGTATTCTTAAAGTAAACATATATGAGTTTCATAAACTCCAGATCACGTCTAGCCAAAATATCCCGAACTGGAACATTAGGTTGTCTACCTCGAGCCCGAAGGGAATCGCACAGCTCAGATCTGACTCCACGATGCTCAGCACAAGACCAAAGGATGTGATCGGCGTCTTGGTAACCTTGTCCACATTCACAGAGATTGCTGTCTCCCAGCTCAACACGAAACAAGTGAGCGTTTAACGAATAGTGATTGGACATGAGGCGAGACATCAGACGAATGAAGTCTCGACCCACATCCAACCCCTTGAACCAAGGACTCTTCGACACCTTAGGGATGATCGAGAATAGCCATCGTCCCAAACTTCCTTCACTCCATTTATTTTGCCAGCTGGCGAGCGACTGTTGACGATAAATGAAGAAAAATTCATTGTAGGCGATTTGTCGATCGTAAATATCGCCTTGCATAGCGCCCACCTTAGCAAGTGAGTCCGCCTTCTCATTGCCCGGAATCGAGCAATGAGATGGGACCCATGCAAAGGTGATGACAAAAGATCTTAAAGATAAAGCACTCAGAAGCTCTCGTATTTTCATGAGAAAATACGAGGAGTGCTTTACCGGCCTCATGGATCGAATAGCCTCGACAGAACTGAGACTATCCGTAAAAATAAAATAGTGATCTGGTGCAAGTGAGGCGATCGTCTCTAGCGTATAGTGTATTGCCGCCAGTTCAGCAACATATACGGAACAAGGAGCTTGAAGCATTCGAGAGGCGCTATGAAATTCGTTAAAAATACCAAAACCAGCGGACGCCTCTATTAGTGATCCATCTGTGAAGAACGATCTTGCGGAATCAACTTGGCCAAACTTTGCAGCGAAAATTGACGGAGCAATCATGGAACGATGATGCTCTGGGATTCCACGAATCTCCCGCGTCATAGATAAATCAAAACTAACTGAATTGCCGAAGTCGGAGAAGCATACACGATGGGGATTATGCTGTGAAGGGCTGACATCCTGAGTTATGTACACGTAGTACAATGACATAAAACGAGTTTGAGGGTTTAGGTCAAGAAGCTTCTCAAAGTTTTCGATTACCAGTGGGTTCATAACTTCACAACGGGTGAGGAGCCTGAGGGACAATTCCGAAAACCGATCCGATAGTGGCAACATGCCCGCCAACACTTCGAGACTCATCGTATGAGTCGAGTGCATGCATCCTAACGCGATACGAAGACAACGATACTGGATACGTTCCAGTTTGATGATGTGAGTTTTAGCCGCCGACTTTAAGCAAAAACTACCGTACTCTAAAACCGATAAAATCGTTGTCCGGTACAACGTTAGAAGATCTTGCGGATGAGCTCCCCACCACGTTCCGGTAATTGTTCGGAGAAAATTGATCCTTTGTTGGCATTTTCGTCTCAGATACTCAATGTGGGATCTCCAGGTGCATTTGGAATCGAACCAGACCCCAAGATATTTGAAAGACATGGAATGAGTGATCGGCTTACCCAAAAGTTGAAGCTTCGGTTGTGCTGGGCTATGCTTCCTAGAAAAAACGACCAACTCAGTTTTCTCCGTGGAGAATTCGATACCTAGCTGGATAGCCCAAGTAGACAAATTGTCTAAGGTATCCTGTAAGGGTCCTTGCAGGTTGACCCCTTTGGGCCCTGTCGTAGACACTACGCCATCATCTGCAAGTTGTCTCAGCGTGCAGTTGTCACTTAGACAATTGTCAATTTCTCTGACATAGAAATTGTACAAAAGGGGGCTTAAACATGAGCCCTGGGGGAGACCCATGTAACTAAATCGAGAAGCTGTAGAGTTTCCATGAGAAAAGCTCATATGTTTCTCTGACAGCAAATTGTACAAAAAGTTATTAATTAATGGGGAAAGGCCACAAGCGTGGAGTTTGTCTGAAAGGACTTCAACCGATACTGAATCAAAAGCCCCCTTAATATCCAAGAACACAGAAGCCATTTGCTCTTTTTTAGCAAAAGCCAACTGGATTTCTGTGGAAAGCAACGCGAGACAGTCGTTCGTTCCCTTACCCCTACGGAAACCAAATTGAGTATCTGAGAGTAGGTGGTTCGTCTCAACCCATTTGTCGAGGCGAAAAAGGATCATTTTCTCCAACAATTTTCGAATGCACGATAACATCGCGATGGGACGATACGAGTTATGATCTGACGCGGGTTTTCCAGGCTTTTTAATGGCTATAACTCTCACTCGCCTCCAATCATCTGGAACAATATTGAACTCCAGGAACTGACAAAACAAGTTCAACATGCGCCTCTTAGCGACGTCTGGGAGGTTCTTCAACAAGTCGAACCTGATCCTATCAGCCCCCGGAGCTGAATTGCGACACGAAAGGAGCGCGAGTGAGAGCTCTAGCATTGAAAAAGGCTGGCTGATCTCGTCTACCGAATTCGTCGTTTCGCGAGGAATCATCTGTGCCGGCACGGAATCAGGACATACTTTTCGCGCGAATTTGAGAATCCACCGATCCGAGTACTCCTCGCTCTCGTTGTTTGAAGACCGGTTACGCATCCTTCGCGCCGTGTTCCAAAGCGTATTCATCGACGTTTCGCGCGATAAACCGTCCACGAATTGCCGCCAGTATCCGCGTTTCTTGGCTTTGATGAGGCTCTTGAGTTCGTGTTCAAGAGTCGAGTACGCTTCGAAATACTCGGGTGTTCCGCGTTTCCGGAAAGCATAAACGCGTCGGACTTTTTACGATAAACCTCAGTGCATTGCTGGTCCCACCAAGGGGTAGGAGGTTTCCTACGAAAAGACGTTCCTGGAACCGGCCGAGTTTGAGCTCGAAGCGCGCTGTCCAAGATCAGATTGGAGAGGAAGTTATATTCCTCCAAAGGTGGAAGCTCTTCTACCGACGACACGGCTTCCTCTATCGCGGTCTTGAACGTTGTCCAATCGATATTACGGGTGAGGTCGTACGCGACATTAACGGATTCCGACGGATTGAACCCACTGGCAATCGAAATTTTGATCGGCAAGTGATCACTACCGTGGGGATCCTGGATCACATTCCACGTGCAATCCAACGATAATGAGTTAGAGCAAAGTGTGAGGTCTAATTTACTTCCATTTGAGGATGGACCAGCAAAACGTGTTACTTCTCCATTGTTAAGAATTGTCATATTGAAGTTGTCACAGAGGTCATATATCATAGTAGAACGGTTGTCATCATACAGTTCCCCCCAGCCTGTACCGTGGGAATTGAAATCTCCCATGATCAACCGTGGAGCAGGAAGTACTGAACATATATCTGAAAGTTGTTTTCGATTAACAACGGCTCTAGGAGGAATATAAACAGAAGCAATACAAAGGCTCTTACCTTTAATAATAGCCTGACATGCAACAACTTCAATACCTGGAAATTGTGGAAGATTCACTCTATAGAAGGAATGGCACTTTTTGATCCCCAAAAGTACTCCTCCTCCACGCGAATCCTCACGATCCAGTCGAATAATGTTAAAATCATAAAAAGGAAGATCTATATCTGAAGAGAGCCAAGTTTCACACAGAGCAAATGCATCACAATCATTATTGTGAACCAAAAACTTAAACGATTCTATCTTAGGAATAAGACTTCGACAATTCCACTGTAGAACAGTGATCAAATCCCCGACCTCGTTTGGAAAATTATCCATCGAAGGAGATGATTGCTGCAAGGAGGGGCCACTTCAATGTCAACTGCTTCAAGAGGGTTTTCACAGTAGGAAGCATTGCCAGAACAATGCTTTTCAGAGGATCAGAAATATCGAGGTAATTGAGGATACTGTCCACAATGTTATCAAATGAGAACAACCCAGATGAAGAAGGGGTTTGTGTTCTGAAAATTGGGGCATCGGGGGTTTTGGATGTCCCCGGGAGAGGTGGAAAATCCTGGGTATAATCAGTTCTGCGGAATCCAGGAGGAGTAGAAGTCTCCTTTTTTCCACCACTCCTTGATCTGGGCAAGCTGATTTGGGGTTCTTGATCTGCAACTTTCCGCGAACGGATGCGTTTTCGTTTCCGGGCAGAACCTTCCGGAAAACTGAAAGAAACTCCCTCCTCAGCCAAGTCAGAGCCAGACTCGTCATCTGACAAAAGAGCGAAGGGATTTGTTTCGTTGGTCGATGGCTTGGCTGTCTTAAGCATTTCTGCAAAAGACCGCCTGGAACGTTCTTTAAGAGAGCGCTCTAGTTTTTCCCCGCGTTGTTTGTACACCGGACACGACGGGAGACCATGAGGAGGAGATCCTTTGCAGTACACGCATTTTGGTGCCGTGACTGTGCAGGCGCCATCCTCGTGCTTCTCCCCGCATTTGGAACAGCGTGCCTTGCTGCCACAGTGAGAGGCCGTATGTCCCAACTGTTTGCAGTTTTGGCAGATCATGACCCGAGGAACAAACAAGCGCACAGGTAGCCGAAGTTTTCCCAACTCGATGTACTGAGGAAGGGCTGAACCAGAAAAGGTCACGCGAAACGAGTCTGTGGGGGTAAAACTCTTTTTACCCTCGCTGACAGATACTGAGCCCAGTTTTTGGACATCCAGTATCTTCACCGGGGGGAGCAAGGGGTTCTTGAAACGGCCAACCGCCTGCTTCTCCAAGATCTCGGGGGTCAGACTCGCTTCGGTGACCACACCTTCTATCTCCACATCACGAGCTGGTATGTAAACCCTGTACTCAATCGTAAAGAGCTGGGAGGCAGCAATCTCGTTAGCCTGCTTCAGGTTAGAAACGACAACACGAAGTTTATTATGCCTAACCTTCGTGATTTCGGTCACGGCCGAGTATCGCTTCGTCAGATCATTGGAAATTTGCATCAAGTTCAAAGGTTTGTTTTTGGGCTGAAAGTAGACAACCCATGGCCCAGTCGAGTCATCTGGATAGGCTCGCGATCGGGGGCTTTTCTGAGACGAACCATGAATGACAGGACGTTTTCGTCTTTTCTTGCCATCGAGTGGCAAACTGGTTTCATCTTCCGACAAAATGTCCATATCGTCTTCTGACGAGACGTCCATTTTGCCGTACTAGTGGGAGCGGTAAACGCTCTACCACTGAAACGATGCTTAAAACCACACAGACACAATAAACAGAAAAAAAAACTACAAACACAGAAACACAAAATTAAATTTAACTGATGGGCGAGAGAAAGAAACAGGAGAAAAAAAAACTTATCTGCTATACTACTACCACCGAGTGATTACACAGCAGCAGCGAAGCGACGCGCAGCGTGGGTGACCTTCGATGCTTGTGTGCGGGCGATCTTTGTAGTGGTGTGCTTGTATGAGGCTCGGCACTCAGCTGGACACACGATGATGGATGACCGGTATAAATGCGGAGGCAGATGCTGACACTCGATGACGATGATCTGTGTGCAGGTATGCGTGATCACGCACCGATGAAGCGCAAATTGGTTTGCGAATATCCAATTACAAGTGAACAATTTTCTTTCCGATGACGCCGAAAACCACTTTCTTCTCAGAAAAACTCACTTTCAGATAATTGTTTAGCCGGGTACTATGCCAGTAATCACTAAGCGAGAAAAAACTGATAATTTAAACCAACCTTCTCTCAACTTAGTGTTCTAGGTGTACTTCCACAGTCATTAATGCAGAGCTTTCCATGTCAACCAATTTCATACATTGCACAATGATACTCTATGCCAAGGGAAGAATAGAAAATTTCCTCGACCGGACCGGGAATCGTACTCACCCCCTCGGGCTTGATGATACCCGATATACCGTGCCTTTGCTGACTAAGCTATGTGATAGCTAATGATCCCGATTGTTTTCAAAGAAATTAAACAGAAACAGATACTCCATTATCATCAAGAGAATGCGCATAACTTTATAAAATAGAAATCAGTTCTGATCTGCATTCAACAAAATTACTGACATTATTTATTACGATCTACTTATTTGACCTACTTTTCGAGGTGAAGGATCTATGATTCCACGGTGTAATCAACAAACTGACTAGGTTCACTCATGCATCATATCAGTCGCCATATTTTTCATGTGTAGTCTATCTTCCAGCGCTGCTTTAAACTGCCATAAAATTTAAACCTCCAAAAATTATTCTCACCCAGTCGTGATCTCTCTCTCTCTCTCTCATTGGCCGTGAATCTCTCAGCAAAGTTTCCCCACTTACTCTCGTTACGTCGTTTGTCTCTCTAAAATAAAGGGAGATCACATTACGGTGTACTCAGATTATAGTCGCTATATTTATAGTCTGCCGGATAGAATTTCTATCTATCAAAAATCGGAACCAATTCAATATATTGTAGACCATCAATTGAAAAGGTACTACCAACTTTTATATACAAACCGTTGATTGTTCTTTTCTCACCAATCGAACGCAAATTACCTGCATCATCGGATAGGGGAAACATTCCCCAACCCAAAGATGTTGTTAGTTTGCGTAGGCGAGCCTCGAGTCACGAGAAAAGGCTTTCCGAAGTTTTGTTCACAATAGCTTTTCTGTTGTTTTGAGTTCTTTTTACTTAATTTTGAGTTGAGCCTCTCGCTTTTACTCGTTATTGTTGTCAAAAAAGGAACAAGAGATTCGACTCAACGATATAATTCAGCCCAATAAGTTACTTTTGAGTAAATTGCGTATTCTCAAATTTACATGAATTAAAATTAATTTTGGGTAGAATATACTTAGGAGTAGGTTTTTTTTGCTGGTGTTAAATAAAAACTACTAGGGGAAATGGATGTAATGTCGGTCTAATTGCCCCTAATTTGGGCCCATACATAAATTCAGCAATCGGTAGCGACCAAAAATATCGATTAGTACCGTCCCAATGACGCGTTCATCTAGATAAAATTGATAAAAAGCAGATTTTTAGCGATGAGCCCAATCTTAGATCCATAGGCCAACATGGTTTTTGTTGCATTCTCTATCGACAGCATGGAACAAGTCCGGTTTAAACTTGAACTGCGAAATGCACGTTCAGAAAGCTGGTCGACGTAGGACTAGCTCTATTAGATACCAAATCACCATATCGGGGATTAGTTGAATCAACACACTTGAACCGTCTATTTGCGCCTTAAGTGTATAGGCGGCTTTCTTATCGCTCACACGTGCTTGGTTGTCGTTTAAAAAACGCCTATTGCATCGATGGCACGCGATCTAGAGTTTATTTACAAACATAAACCGACTGTTGAAACCGTTGGGCACAAGATCCGATACCCCTGCCCGAAATGACAACGACGTACTCTAGCATCAGTGAAGAACGTTGGTTCGTTGACAGCCGGATGAGCGAAGATAGAGAAGAAGAAGAAGTAAACGTCAAGAACAAAAACAAAAGTGTGAAAGGACAGAAGTCAGATTATTCTTTGATCGCAAATGTTAATGATTTTGATAGTAAAAATGTGAAATCCTGTATAATTCAAATTTGATCGCTACCTGAACCGTTCCTTTTTATTCGGTAAGGCCTCTAAATTATAATTAAAATGAAATTGTTTCGGTAATGTAGGTCGATAAAAAAGCCTTTGTACTGGGGTTCGGCAGACGCTTTCACGTTGTGAAAAATATATTGAAAAACTAAAATTTGTAAGTAAATATTAAGATGCTGGAACAACAATACTTATAACAAGATTAAATATTACAGTTTGAGCTGTGACTATACGAGCTGCTACAGAAACTTAGTTTTTTTTCTACAAGAACTCCGAACATTTTCTCAAAAGATTTTAACCCCACTTTTGAGATGGATCACGGCTGTGGAAAGTGCAACAATCCCGACGACGACGACATGGTTGCTTGCGATACCTGTGAAGTTTGGTATCATTTGGATTGTGTAGGAGAATCTCCGGGAGTGGCAGACTGGAACTTTGTGTGCCCCAAGTGCACCGGCAAGAAGGAGAGGAAAAAAAAAGGGAAAAGCTGACGCTACCGTGCCCAACAAATCCGACAAAACTCTAGTGTCGAAAGGTGCAAAGCCATCCGAGCCCGAGAAAAATCCTAATCCCAAGCATGATCCGGAAATTGTTGAACAGGATAATAAAAGCAATGGTGCACCCGAAGAAGACGAAACCTATGATTCGCGCAGGCAAGCAGATTTTGACCGTTTGGATGACGAAATGTTGCGGAAGGTGAGGCTATTGGAGCATGAAAGGGCACTGAAGGAGAAGTGTTTGGAATTGGAAGCAAAATTGCAGCAAAAAAAGCTGGATCAGGAACGGGAATTAAGGAACAGGAAGTTGGAGCAACAACGCGAAATGTACCGCATTGAGTTGGAGGAAGAAACAGATTTTCTAAACCAGCAGGACGCACTACGGACACAATTCCAAAGGTTAAAACATAAATTGTAGTCCGTTAACCAGAAGGAAACTATTAAGGATAAGAATACTGATGCTGACGGTGCACCGGCGACTAGCAGTCAGAAAAATAAAACGGTTTTCGATTGGCAAGAGACACCAAAATGCATTCCGAATTCGAAGCTGAAGATAATTCCCGAGAAAAAGGATCCCTCGCCAAATACTAGTGAGGAAGAGGAATCGGCGGCCGAATATTCGGTCGAGTCAGATGCTAGCGAGCCTGAGCCAACACCATCGAGCTAGCTGAAGATAAAATCCCATGCGTCCCACGGGTCAGGGCCAACCAAAGCTCAGGTGGCTGCCCGTCAGGTATTGTCAAAGAAACTTCCGATCTTCAGCGGTAAGGTGGAGGAATGGCCGCTTTTCTTCAGTAGCTACGTCAACTCTACGGAGGCATGTGGATTTACGGATGTGGAGAATCTGGTGCGGCTTCAGGAATGCCTCAAAGGTCCTGCCCTGGATTCAGTAAGAAGCCGGTTGCTGCTTCCGAAAGCCGTGCCTCAAGTGATTGAGACTTTGCGCATGCTGTACGGACGTCCAGAACAGCTCATTCATACTTTGTTGAACAAGGTAAGACGAACGGACCCACCGCGAGTTGATCGTCTCTAGACGTTCATACCCTTCGGAATGGCAGTGCAGGAGTTATGTGACCACTTGGATGCAGCAGGGTTGCACAACCATTTAGTGAATCCCGTTTTGATTCAAGAGTTGGTCGACAAACTTCCGGCTGCAACAAAACGGGAATGGGTACACTTCGAACGTTCGCGGATTTTGCGTCAGGCATTGTGTCTGAGGCGAGTGAGGTGGCATTGTCCGTCGAGGTACGAGGTTCAGCCAAATCTGATAAGCCAAAGGGGAAAGATAAGGGCTTCATTCGTGCACATAGTGCAGAGCCTGCAGCTACGTTACCACCAGTTAGCCCTTGTCGTGTGTGTAAGACGGCTGGTCATCGTACACGGAATTGCGAAGAGTTTCATCGCTTGAGTCCAGGGAAAGGGTGAAAATGATGGAACGGTGGAAACTATGCGAGCGATGTTTAAACGAGCATACGGGATGGTGTCGTTTCAAAATCACATGCAACGTCGGAAATTGTCGTCAACAACACCATCCGTTGGTACATCGTGAGGCTGATGCTGGCCCTCAAGTCAATCGCCTCAACCAAGGACAACTGCATACGCACCTGGATGGAAAGCTACCGGTGCTTTTCAGAATCGTACCTGTAACACTATATAGTGGACGTAGATCGATCTCCACTTTTGCTTATCTCGACGAAGGATCTTCCATGACGCTCGTCGAAGAGAGCATTGTACGTGAACTGGGTACACGTGGAAACCCACAACCCTTGACGCTGCAATGGACGGGCAATATCGTGCGCCGAGAATCATCGTCGGAGTGCGTATCACTGAAGGTAGCAAGCGAAGCGGGCAATCGTCTGGATCTGAAGGATGCGCATACTGTGAAGAAGCTATATCTGCCGAAACAGCGAGCTGATTTTCGGCAAATCTCCATTCAATACCAGAATTTGCGAGGATTGTATGCGGCTAATCACACCAAAGGTTTTGATCGGCCTCAACAATGCATTTCTGCTCGCGCCCTTAGAGTCGAGAGTTGGGAATGCCAACGAGCCGATTGCCGTTCGATCACATTTGGGTTGGACAATCTACGGGCCGAGAGGAACTGGACCATCAACGGGGTTTGTTGGTTACCACAATGGATATACTAACCAGGAATTGCACGAAAAGATGCGGGAGTTTTTCATGACGCAAGAACCACGGACTATAGTGAGCAAGCTTCCAGAATCAGCTGAAGATCGAAGAGCACGCGAGTTGCTGGAAAATACTACAGTCAAAGTCGACGATCGTTATGAAACTGGTCTTCTTTGGAAGGCAGAGGACGTGAATCTGCCGGACAGTTACGGTATGGCATACAAACGTGCTCCGTTTCTTGTCCCGAAGTATACTTGATGGATGTAGCCATTTTTGGGTCAGCGTGTTCCCCGGCATCTGCACAGTACATTAAAAACCTCAACGCATCCCAATACGCTGATCGATTTCTGGTGGCAGCGAGCGCCATCATTCGGAAGCATTATGTAGACGACTACCTGTGACTACACGAGCTGCTACAGAAACTTAGTTTTTTTTTTTCTACAAGAACTCCGAACACCGACTGTAAGCTGATACATATGCCGTTTTTGTTTTGCGGTGTAGCATCGGTGTAGTGTAACCAGGTTTAGTGTAAGCGCAAGTCATTGACAGCTCAACATCATTTGTTTGTAAACAAAGGTACATCCGATATCGACACCCTACATTAATTCGGTGTACCGTACAACCGTTTTATATTGAAGATTTACCAAATTTGCCCTTTTATTATGAACAAACAACAGGTCGTATGTACAGTTTTTACGCTTCTGTCAAATTTGTTACATTAGTTACATACGACGATTAATACTTCCATAGAGGTTAGGTGTCGTATGTAACATTGAGCTGTGTTTTGATCAGTTGGCACATACGATAAATAGTTTTTTTTTTTGAGAAAAAAAGTGAAACAGAAATGTGTTAACGGGCCAAAATTTTACCTTAGGAAGAGTAAGGAGAGTAGTGTCTGGTAGCATTAAAATGTCAATTTTTTTACGTTTGTTTCATACGATCTATTCAAAAAGCACTCCATAATTAATTAATTATTGTGAGGGGACTCTCTTACTTAAAAGACGTACAATAGGGTTAACTACCCCATTTCCGGCCTGTTAAGCACAACCTGCACTCAGTATTTCTTAATCTAGCGCAGTTTAGCACCAAACGGATTGTTATTATTGCTGATGGCTTCCAAATTTATTTACCTTTCCGTATGTTCCGTAAGATTTGATAAAGAGAAACCAATCTTTGAAATATTCACTAACACTGTTTCTTGACGCCAAACTCGGCCTACGGATTCTAAACTCGGCCTAACGCATTGAAACGCCATGGAAACGCCAATGAATTCACTTCGGCCTATCGTATGAAGATAAAAATTGATTCGGTCGGAGCGCTTCTTTTGTGTTTGGGAATAATGGGTGCAAACCTTCATATCACGCGTTCTCATTGACTTCGTTCGGTAGCTTATTAACTAAAGTATCGTACCAAACGCATAATTGACTTGTTAACTCTGAAAGCATGGATTTATTTAAAGTTTTCTGGCCCAAAATGGGCGATTAGGCCGAAGTAGTTCTCAACCCTATTTCTTTTTTTTTTCAAGCAGATTTTTGAGCAAAATTTTACTGATTTTCTATTATTTCGAGTTCTTTTGATCTGAAGCTATTTTATAACCTCGCAACCAGTCATCTCTCTCTGTTCTTTCGATAGTCATAGCAAGCGAGCACGTTATTGGTTAATTGGGGCAAAAAATTTGATCAATTTTCAATAGTTATGATATACCAAACAAGTCAATCAAACAGAATTGATGAATCAAAGGGTGTGAAAAAAAATTCAAATCCATCAATAAATGGCCAAATTATAAGCGTTTAAAACCTAACACTATTTCGTTACACGATTTTTTTTGCACACGTTCACAATCTTCTACGTACTATCACAAATATAACAACTGTTGTTAGGGTTAAATAATATATGTAACACAACTTGTGACAAAATAACCCATTAGGGTACAAACTTAAAGGGCATATTCTGGTAATTTTTTTTAATGTTTTCTATTTTTAGATTATCATTAAAATAGGAGAATTTGCGTGTTCTCGGCAATCTAAGCAGCGACCATCTTTCTATTAGCTTTTTCTCTCAGGAACGCACGCATGTGTAGTATTGGTTTATTTACAATCTTTTGCTCTCAGCTGTTCTAACAATTTAAGTCGAAATAATTGTCAAAAACTGATCTGAAACGCTTTTACAAAGCTCCAAACTTTTCTAGTGCGAGCGACTATTGTGGGCAACATCTTTTTATTCGGCAACCTTTCTATTTGAGTTGCGTGTTAAACAGCATTGGCAACTCGAAATCACCAGTATTTTGTATTGCGTGTGTTTCATTTCAAGAAAACCCTGTTAGATTGCTTTTTCTCAGTGGTAAAAATATAATCAAATTGAAGCTGAAAGCCTAAAGAATCGCTTGAATGCATTCAGGGAAGTGTTTTCGTAAGAAAATCTAGTGAAATTAGCGTTTCAATTTGTGTTGCCGAAAAAAGTCTGTCATGCCGAAGTCGTCATTTTCCCTATTTGAAAATAACCCCTCTATCAAAAAACGAAATATCACCCCCTCTCCCACACTTTCGCATGCTTTACAAATACAAAAAAACTTCTATATTGCTGAAAACGGAGGGTAGCAAAGTATATTTGCAACACAGTTTGTTATAATTATCAAAAATTGCCGCCAATTAGAAATTTTAATTATTTTGATTATAAAGTATTTTCAAAATATAATCAATGAGAATGATTCCAACGAATTTCTTAGGAATATCCCTAGAAAATTCTGAGTTAAATTTCAAGTGGATTTCGATGAGTATTCTAAGAATATTCCGGTGTTTTTTATCAGATAATTCAAAGGAGAATCCCAGCAGCATTTTGAAGATTTTTTGGGATTTCCTAGCAGAACTAAAAAAATATTGATAAGATAATTCCGTGGGAATTTCAGGATAATATTAGGTAAATTCTGAGGTGGAGTCCACGTGAATGTTCAGCATTTTCTAAAGATGTTGTAAAATTTGTTAAAATCATATTTATCCTTTACACTAGTCAATAATACTCATCATAATTTCTTGCTCATTTTAAAATATTTCCATTATACATTTGGATTGTATTTTTGAAAAATGCGTGAAATTAGGATCATAGGTTAATGAAACTATGGTACTTTATCGTAGAAACATTCGGAAAAACCGGGAAATCTCATGGAATTTTATTAAGAAAACTGAGTAGACAATAAGCTATAATAATTGTCAACAATATAAAAAATTGTCGGGAATCTGGATCTCTTTTCCATTGTTTTTTTTTTAATTCTCGCTAGTACTGAATTTTGTACGTTTAAGCTCTATGACTCTTTCCTTCCCACGGTAGCACAGGGGATTTATAAGTTTTTGGTCTGTCTTACGATTATCATTACAGCTTAAATCAGTCAGCATTGATTTAAGTTTCTCTTGTGCTCAATTCTCCTTTATATATTCATCTCACAAGTTTCTAGAAGGCTTAGAAAGAAAACAAAAATCATCTCGAAACTTATAAATTGAGCTTGATAACTTCAAAAGTGTCTTAGTCCTATGATTTGTAAATTTCCCGCATCTTGCAGTTCTTTTTGTAGAATCATTACCTTATAATGTTAGAGGTATTGCAAATTAATCGAAGACCATACCCCAATCTATTTTTTAAAATGCAATTGACAACAGAATTTAAAGATTAAAAAGACAAATAATCTGGAATTAATTAAAACTAAATCTAAAATATATCATAGTTTACCAAAGTGAAAAAGTTTGAAAATAATCGAAGAATATTAACAAATCTCCAGAGACAAGACTAAGAGATCTTAAAACAAATGGTTCATACAGGTTCTTGTTTTCCTTTCTTTAGTCTGACACCTCTCAAGTTAAAATGTTTTGAAAG